GGTGGCATCATATTTACAGGTAGCTGAGAGCCATCACTTTGTTGGTTTGTTTGGTCTTTTAGGTTAGAATCCTGTTCGGCCGTCTCTTGTCTCATCATCCAGACTGCTGGCCTGAAGAACTCCTCCCTCGCCGCGAGCAGTAATTTTGTACATCTGCAGGCAGCGTCCTTCTCACAGCCCAGCTAGATGCAGATGTCCACCCCGACCTGTCTGCTGGGATATCAAGTGAGAACACTTGCTCGCTTTTCTGTTTATAGGGTTGCCGTTCTGAAACCTTGAAAGAATCACTCCCTGAACTGTCTGAATTCCCTGAGAGGGGTTTTGGTTTTGCCACCTATTTCCACTCTGATCTTTATAGGCAAGACTGCCTCCGTGGGCGCCCCTGCAGCGGTTACCTCTACCACGGTTAGACATCCAACCCGAACCTAAGTTTTTATTCCAAGAATTCCCTGAATTTTCATTTCTGTTTTCTTCCCGGTGGAAATCTTTTAATTTTTCTGGATTTCTGGTCCTTGGATCAGGATCGGAATTTATTTTTTCTGTTACCCACCTGGGACAGTCATTTCTGTTTGTCAGCAGAACTTGGATCGTCAGCATCTGGATTGAGGTCATTTTTTTCTTTTCTTACATTTTCATTCTGTTTCTCTGGGTTAGTCCTTCAGCACAGATCATTTCCTCGTGGACATCTCCAGTCATCACTTGTCCGCCTTTCCTTCCATGGCAGAGAGTAAATGTCTCCTTCATTTCTACCAAATGAGGCACTCTTACTTTTTGTTCTAGATCTTGATGGTGACCTAGACCGGGGTCAGGATTGGGACCACCTTCTGGCTCTCTGGTCTCTGTCTCCATCTCTCCTCTGCCTGTCTTTCTCACTTTCTCTCTCTCTCTGCTCTGGGATCTAGATTTTTCTCTGGACGATGTGTCTTTCAGCTTGGACTGAGATCTTTGGTTCTCTCTACACATGTCTCTTGGCGATGGTGATTCGTATCTTTTGCTTTCCTTAGTACTGTCTCTTTTTGGAGATTGAGACTGAGAATACCTCCTTTCTCTTGTCATATCTTTTTTTGGGGACTGAGAATGAGATTTCCTCTGTTCTCTAGCCGATTCTTTCTTAGGAGATAGTGATCGAGACTTCTGGCTTTCTTTTCCTGTTTCTCTTTTGGGAGATGGAGACTGGGAATGCTTTCTTTCCTGTACAGTGTCTTTGCTGGGAGACCAAGATGTAGATGGAGAATGAAATCTAGACCTTCGAGTACGAGGTTTTTGGACTTATCTACTACATCTACTGGGTTTTCAGATGTCTGAGATACAGTTTCAACCTTTTCATTTACAAGGCTGGAAGATGGCATGTTATTTTCAGAACTATGTACCACAGAATTTTCAATCAACTGCTTAGAATGAGCACTTACAGATGATTCAATTTCAGATTCGCTCTGGTCACTACAAAGCGAGTCACCCTCCATAGGTATCATTTCATTGTTGTCCTCACTAAAATGCTTCTCAATCTGTCCAGTGTGCATGTTAGGCAGCTCTAGAGATCTGGGATGTTCAACTAGAGATTCAGTCTTTTCTTCTAAAGACTTATTCAATTTGGTGTTAAAATTTTTTAACAAATTATTTTCAGAGTCCTCAGTACTATTAAAATTTTCATTTTCTGCAGTTTCACATGTTGCCATTATCTCTGCATCTTCAGTTTTAGTATGTCCAAGCAGCTGAATCTCTGAGGTCTCAACAGTTTTTCTGTCCACTGTTAGTATCATTTCATCCTCAGAAGATTCTAACTTGGGGATCTCTGTAAGCACTTCTGTTTTTACTGTAGAATCTTGATGATCAGTAATTCCCACTGTGGGACTCTCTATTACTTTTTGTTCACCAACTCCTGATTCTGCATTCTCAGGTGTCCACCTAGGGAACTAGATACAGGATGTGCTTCAGTTTCAGAACCTGAGCACCTAAGAAAATCACTTGGAGGATTTGAACATGCAACTGCCTTTGTCTCTGATTCTGAAGATGCCGGTATCTGGTCTTGACTTTCTAATGGATCACTTCCTTTTCCGAAAATATCTTTAGAAATTTCACTTTCTAAACTCAAAATGTTAGCCTCTGTAGCTATAGCTTCAAGTTTGTTATTTTCTTCCCCTTCTCCAACTAACACAGGAAGATCGTCTGTGTAAGATTCAGAACATGAGGGTTCCACTTTTTGCTCTGCATCAGGATTTTCCCTGCATTCCTCATTTTCTTCCATTTGTTCATTGCAGTTTTTCAAGCAATTAGCAGAATGGTTTTCTACATCTGTCTGAACAGAACAAATGTTACTACTTTCTTCTACATGTGATCGTTGCTCTTTTTCTAATGCAGGTGGTATGTCAGACTCCACTATTTCTTCCTCTACTGAATCACTAGAGCTTGATTTTTCAGGAGGAGGTACAGATCGCTGAAGTTTATTTTTCAGGTGGTTTTCTTCCTCTTCTTACACACTTTCATTTTGGAGCCGGTTTTGTTTGCTTTTCTGACTCAGCTGGAGATAAAATACGTACAGAAGGATTACTGCTACCTGGGGCACCACACCCAGAATTATTTGACGTTCGGGATCTCTGAGACTGGCTGACTGTCTCAGCTTCTGTGTTGCATGTAGATCTTCTTGTAGGAGTTGCTGCAGGTTTTCATCTTGAACCTCTGGTTTGAAGTACCAGAAGTTTGCTTCTTTTCTTCTCCTTCTTGGGTATGTGTTAATGCATATCCTTTGCAAGAAGTACCAAAATTTTCTAAAGATAAGGTACTTGTTGGAAAAACAGTTCTTGGCAGCACAGAAGAGATGAGAGGAAGAACTTCTGCTTCAACACTCCAAGGTATAAAACCAATTCTTCCAATTCCAGGTAATGAATCAGGAAAGCATGACAATTCCTGTTCCTGTCTCTTCTGTCTAATCAATGCACTGATTTCATTGATTTTTATAAATTCTGTACAGTAAGCTCTATAGGTAAAGGAAGATTCTCCATTGTGGCTACCACAAGAAAATATATTGGAGAAAAAAGTTTCTGAAGCAATAACTCATGCACTGATTTGATCGTCGAGGCTTATCTATCTTTATTGCTGCATTTTTCTTCCCTCCCATCTTATTGTATGAGGAGTTTCTATGCAGCAGTGTCAAGTCATAAAATCTTGCACTTAACAGATCTTCTCTTATGATGGTATTTTTTCTTATAAAGCCTTCAGGTGTTTCATAATAAGATAGCTGTTTCTTAAAAGAACTTTCATTTTTCTTGTATTTTGCTTCTCTCAGTTGTCTTTTTACTTGAATCTTAATACAACCTTCCAAAGCACTGAATTTAAACCCTACCTGAAAAGGTTTTCTGTCAATAGGGCATGAAGCCAGTGTCCTAGAATTGTGAAGCGTTGTAAATTCCCAGCTCAGACAAACTCATATTTAAATGTAAGAACAGGAAACCTTCCTTATTTGGAAATTCAGGATTCCTGATTCCTAATATTTCTTCCTTCCTGCTGCTGCTCTATCCTCAAGCATATAGGCTGCCTATAGATAGCCCCTCCTCTGCCTACTTAAGAATACAGGTCATACAGAAGACATGATCACAGCTTTCTGGAAAACCACCTTCCTTCTCTAATGGGTGATTAAGACATATTGGACATCTGCCTGCTTCACTGTGCAATAGGCCAGCGGCAGCAGTATTATTTCTGCTTCCTTCACCTTCCGTGTCTTCGTACTCTCGATCTCCCGTGTGTAGGTTACACGCAGTTTTCTTCTTCATTTCTCCTTGGCAAAACGTTTCCTCAGGCCAGGTCCAGGCGCCCGCGGCCCCAGTGCAGGAAGCTCCGGCTCCTTCACTCCGACGCGCGGCCCCACGGGCTGCTCCACCCACTTCGCGGCTTCGGGGCGCAGGGGCGGTGGGCCCTGCCTGGCGGGCCTGGGAGCAGGGATCCTACCCGAAGTGCCTGGCTCTGGCTCCCCCAGCGTCGCTCTCCCTCCCTCCTCATCGGCCTGCTGCCTCTTTCCATTTTCTGATATCCTCTTTAATCTCCTTTTTCAGAGTACTGTCATTTTCAATGTATAGATCTTTCACTCCCTTTATTGGATTGACCCCTAAGTATTTCTTTTTTGGGGGATGCTATTGTAAAGGGTGTGGTTTTCCTCATTTCTCTCTTATGAGTTTGTTGCTTGTGTCCAGGACTGCTACTGGTTTTTGAGTGTTGACTTCGTATTCAGCTACACGATTGAATTTGGTTATGAAATCTAGAAGCCTTTTGGTGGAGTTTTTGAAGTCTTTTATGTAGACTATCACGTTGTCTGCAAAAAATAATTTAACTTCTTTCCTACCCTTATTTCCTTTGTTTCTTGTGCTTGTCTAATTGCTCTGGCTAATGTTGCCAGAACTATATTGAATAGGAGTGGTGATAGTGGACAGCCTTGTGTTGTTACTGATCTTAGAGTGAAAATTTTCAGTTTTGTCCATTTAGTATGATGTTGGTTGTTGGCTTGTCATCGATGTGTTTTATCAAATTGAGATATACACCATATATTTCAATTTTCTGTAGGATTTTTATTATGAATGGGTGCTGGACTTTTGTCAAAAGTGTTTTCTGCATCTATTGATATGATCACATGGTTTTTGTCTTTGGCACTGTTATTATGGTATGTTATTTTTATTGATTTATGTATGTTGAACCATCCCTGCATCCCTGGGATGAATCTAACTGGGTCTTGCTACATAATCTTCTTGATGATTTGCTCCATTGTTTGACAGTATCATATTAAGGATTTTTGCATCTGTGTTCATTAGGAAGATTGACCTACATTTCTCTTTCTTAGTTGGGTCCTTTGCAAGTTTTGGTATCAGGGTAATGCTTGCTTCCAGGAATGAATCTGAGGGTATTGCTTCCCTTTTAATTGCATTAAAATTCTAAAAAGCGAGAAATGCAAATTGAAACAACACTGAGATTTCATCTCACGCCAGTAAGAATGGCTAGCATTAAGAAATCAACGAATAACAAATGCTGGCTTTGCTGGCGGTGATGTCCACCGGGATGTGTTCCTCTCCATTGTAGGGCACCCCCAACCCCAGGGTGTGATGGTGGGCATGGGCCAGAAGGACTCCTACATGGGTGACAAGGCCCAGAGAAAGTGCGGCATCCTGACCCTGAAGTACCCTCCTGAGCATGGCACTTTCACCAACTGGGATGACATGGAGAAGGTCTGGCACCACACCTCCTCCAGCAAGTTGCGTGTGGCTGCTGAGGAGCACTCAGTGTTGCTAACAGAGGCTCCCTTGAAGATGACTCAGCTCATGTTTGAAACCCTCCACACCATGCCCATGTACATGGCTATCCAGGATGTGCTGTCCCTGTATGTCTCTGGGTGCACCACTGGTATTGTCATGGACTCTGGCAATGAGTACACACACACACACACATACACACACAAACTCCACACAGTTGCTAAGGATGTTTAAACACTAAGTACGCTATATATGATGTGATCCAAATTGTCATGAATCACCCTCAAAATATTCACCCTCATTTCCAATAATGGCATCTAATTATGGCATCATTCTTGTCATTTCTGAAGAAATTCTGGATGTCTTTTTTCATGAGCATTGCATTGTCACGACTGTCTCAATGTCCTGAACCTTTTTTTTTTTTTTTCTGGTACCAGGAACCGAACTCACGACCTTGTGCTTGTGAGGCAGGCGCTGTGCCGCTGAGCTAAATCCCCAGCCCCCCCCCCCAATCGATTCGAAACACTCACTGTTTGTCATTTGGACCTTGTGGAAGAGCCAGCATTTGCATGGTGCCAGATATGGTGAATAAGTGTTTGAGGATGTACTCTAACACTTTTATAAGGCTACTGTTCTATTTAATGGTACTTGGCAGCACTGGATTTTTAAAAAGCACATCTTATAAAGAGTCATAGAAGACTTCCAGTTCTGCTTCAGAAAATGGCAAAGAGAATGGGATAAGTGCGGTCTAAATGAGTGGGAATATTTTGAGAGGGATTAACAGCAATGTGTCTTTTACTGGAATAAGTTTTAAGTGTTCTCTTTCTCCAATTACATTTACTGTAGTTTTTTGTTGCTTTAATGGTGACTGTGTTGAAAATTTTTTTTTCACCCTATAGAGTGATCACTTATAAGTGTTTGGATAGGTGGTCAGCATATACAGACCTAATACACTATTTGGATCTGCTAAGTGTATGATGCAAATGCATGTGTTGGGGGAGGGGTGCTTTCAATACCTGCAATATAATTTCTGATCCATTTATCTGAGGAATTCTGCCATTTTATTTATTTTACCTTCAAATACACGAATAGTGCCTTGTACTGCCGTTTTTACAGACCAATCTCCCCATCTCATATCTCTAGGGCTATAGCAATACTAAAACAAAAATCCAATCCTAGGCTTGTAGACTCTCTAATTGAGGTAAAGGACCATGTGCAACTAGATATCCATGTATGACAGAAATTGGGATATTTATTAGCATTGAAGAGAATATTTCAAATTCTATCATTAGTCCAGAATTATACGAAGTTAACTGCCATAAATCATTATTAAATTACATGGATTGGCTCACTCAATCTATTAATTTTAACTTGTAACTCTAAGAGAAAAATTTGCAGAACGTTTCTGTCAGAAAAGCCAATTTATACATTTATAGTGGTTACTTATTTTGTCCAGAGGTACTAAAAGGTATATCTAAGTTGTAGTCTTTTTATGTGATAAAGACATTTGAATTTTTGAAGGGTCATTAAAATCACGTGCACAAAAATCATCTAGAAATCATCCATTACTCTTTAGGGGATATGCACATATAGACAAGAAGGATTTATTTTGTTGTTTTTATTGTTGTTGCAGTATATTATAAGCACAAAATTTGGGAATAATCTCACATTCTCTCAGAATAAAACAAAGCAAAACAAAAAGTGTAATGTGTTAAATCTAAAGACTACAGGTTAAACAAGTTACATGTTAAATAGTCTATAGTACAAATGGTAGATGTTTGCTCAAACTCATGAAATTGAAGAATTATCCTAAAGAAAGTACTTAAGAGAATATACTGACATTCTGATAAGTTATTTCTAGTTATAAATGCTGAAGAAGAGTTCATAAAATAGAGAGTTGATCAGCAATACAATTTCCAATACTTAAGTTATACCACTATAACATATAGAAAATAATTATAAAAAGAAAAGTACAAATGAAAACAAAACATCATGACATAGTAGTAAAATGAAACCCAGAATATGCTAAAAGTTTTGCACCTTGCAAAAATGCTCTTCACCAGAATGTTGACAAAATTATAGTTCCATGTGTCTCAAAATCCTGTTTATATGTTCATTTACAAAGTCAATTATTTTTCAAATCTTGTATGAATGGAACTTCTGTGTTCTTGGATCAATATAACTTTGAAAAGCATAAGAAATTTTTTTTTTTTTTTGGTTTTTCTCCGGTACCGGGAACCGAACTCATGACCTTGTGCTTGCCAGGCAAGCGCTTTGCGGCTGAGCTAAATCCCCAGCCCCTATAATAAATTTTATTTTTTAAAGTTTTTAAAATTTTTTTTGTCTTTTTGAGACAGGGTCTTCCCAGGCAGTTCAGGCTGACTTTGTGCTCACTTTGTAGCCAGGCTGTCTTCGAACTCACAACGATCCTCCTGCCTCAGCCTCCCAAGTGCTGGGATTACAGGTGTGCGCCACTACGCCAGGCTCCATAATAAATTTTAAAACTTGAAAATTTTTCTCAATATTTTAATTTCTCACATTTTTAAAGTTGAATGACTATTTCCAGATAAAAGATCCACTGACTGAAAGGACTTTTAATCATATCCAAGACATTTGGCATATTATATTTATCAATGTCCAAAACTAAAATACTGTTTTAAAGATAAATTTTAAAAATGTTTAATTTGTATGCATTGGAATAGAACATTGTTAATATAATAAAATTGAATTTGGGCACAGGATACTTAATAATTTGGGATTAAGTTCCCAGCAGCTCTTACTCTGATATTTTGTATTGAATGTAGCTAGTTTATCTCTCAAAACAAGTTAATCTTTTTATTTCATTTTTCTTTGATTAAACTGGACATCCACCATTATTAGAAGAATATCTCTGTGCTGAAGTCATAACAAACCTACAAGTACAACTTTGATGAAAATGTGTGGATATTTGAAAAGTTAAGAATATTCTGGCTTAAAAGAGTATATGACTATAGCTTAAGCAAAATTTACACTACTACATCAAAATTTTTTCTCTTTTTCAGGTTTGGGTAGCTTTCTCAAGGAAAAAGTCGTTTTAAACCAAAACTCCCTTTTGGAGATGTATATACAGTGAAATGGCTACTGGTTAAATAGTTAAAAATCATGGTTTACCTCTTATAGTAGGATACATTCTGTAATGTTTTTAAATATCACTTTTATGAATTCCTTTAGGTTAAGAGGATAGAATGCATTTATTTAAAAATACAGCTTTCCAATTATCCTAATGAAAAGTGCTTCTCAAGGAAGTTAGTTTAGTTCTGAATAGATACTCATACAGTATTGAAATGAAATAGTTTTCTGGCTGTTTGGGAGCAAAGGATAGCCTAGCTTAGTGATGGTGGTATTCTACAAAAAGGAATGCATGAGAAATATTTCTATAGCTTTCTTTTCTATGATATCATTTCTATTCAGCATCTCTGGATTATTTTTCTATAGAAAACTTTTAGAGGTATCAATTCTGAGCTGTTTTACTAGAGAAATACATGCTTCAAATGTAGGGGGAAAGCATGTAGCTTTCTGGCTATTCTTCCATCATGACTTAAAGCTTTAGGAGAATACCACTGAGAAATTGCTTTTGAAGGAAGAAGGAGCTTGAATTCTGAGTAAGATTTTTAAAAAGCCAATGGACCATATGGCAGATAAAAGGTCTCAAAGAGTTTCAGAATTCTGTTATTTATTATAAAATGCTACTCTGGAGAGCAGTGAACCTTCAGTCTTGACATCACTAACATAGTCTTTATACTTTTCATATATTATTGCAATTACTTTGTGTTATTGATAAATATGTTTAATTTACTTACATGTACTCACACTAACTGAAAAGTAACTATATTACTAAGGGTAAAAAGAATGATGGATGTTTAGCCAATAAAATAGGTAGACAAACTGCTGAGTTTTCCTTTAAATATATATAGTGTTGATACATTTTTCATTTGGGCAAGAGAACGGAGAGCGTTCATATAATTTAAAGCTTTAGGATTATGTAATGTAATTATTAAAAATATTCTGATGGCCAGTAGTGCTCTGGTATAAACTGTGTCAAAAATACTAGTGATCTGAAAAGTCATATAAAGTGTACTTTCTATGTTCAATATAATACAGAGAAGACAGGTGGAATCCGAAAGTGACACATTCTTAAAATATAACTGTTGCGTCAGCTTGTAATGGAAAAAAATTGATGGTCTATGAACACTGACATGGAAACTAAGAAAAAATTAGAAGGAAGTAGAAATATTGAAGTTCTTTGATGGTCTTATAAATATTCATTTACGATAGCTCTCTACCATGCCAGATAATATTGGTCATGGATTATTTTCAATATAGGAAGGAAATATAGTTTTAATCCTGTGGTAGATTTGCCAGTGGCATTTTGATGTAGTTAAGTAGTTATTCAGATCTATAGTAAATATATGCAATTGATGAATAAAATACAGTACTATGCAAAATTCCACCATGGAGGCACTTGAGTGGTATGGTAGAAAATGATACTTGGTAATAACAAAATGAAGTGCATGCTTCATTTAGTGGTAATGAATATACATTCACTTACTAAAACTGCATGCTTCCAGACATAGTGAGATAATAGCCAATATTTCATAGAAACGGTAATAATTATGGCTCAAAATTTCTGCCTTTTGGCCATTTAGAGATTCTTTTAAACAGATGATGATAGAAAATTTTTACATCCAGAGTGGGCCATTTTGCCCTTTTCAAGTCATTTGGAGGGGAAGAAGGGAGGGAGAGGGAGAGGAAGGGAGGGAGGAGGGAGGGAAAGAGGAAGAGAGGGAGACAGGGAGATGGAGAGAGGAAAGAGAGAGAGAGAGAGAGAGAAAGAGAGAGAGAGAGAGAGAGA